CCTCGTCCTCGACCACGGCATGCTTTACCTCCGTTTTGATTCTTCTAGTGTTCTGGGTACCCGATGATTTCAAAGCAGCGGGTTTTGTCATGTCCAGGTCTCTTGCAGTGAGTACAGATTACGGGTAAATCAGCAGAGTCTCGCCCTTCACTTGCTTGACCCCTTTGATCTAATTTACCTTGGCTTGCAAAGGCAACAACTTGTACCCTTGGATCTTCGCGCTGCCCTGCCTTCAATTGTAACTCTTCTCTTGATATCATGGCAAAGCATCGAGTGAGTGAGGGCAGTGAGTCCATGCTTATAATGCTTGATCTAATAGTACCATAACGATCATCAAGGCCCACTAAAAATTTATAGACCTTTTCATTCTCTCTTTCTTCCAATACATTGATCAACGTTTTGCACGTCGATCCACATACACAAGTGTTGGTTTTAGTGTACTGATCTAACTGATCCCATATTCCCTTTAGTTTAGCATAGTAATCTGTGACACTCAATGACCATTGCCTGAATTCATTTAATTCCCATTTCAATTGATATATTCGGGGACCATGACTTTGATGATATCTTTGTTGGAGTTCAATCCATAACTCTCTAGCGTCATCAACGGAAATTATAGTGTTTTGTATGCTTTTGTCGACACAATTAAAGATCCATGAAACAACCATAGCATTGCATTTATCCCAAGTATTTTTGTCAATGTCATCCGCCTTGTCTTTCTCTAGAGTCCCATCAATGAAACTCAATTTGTTTTTAGATTTTAGAGCTCTTTGAAAAGCCCTTTCCCAAATATGATAGTTCTCTCCATTAAGAATGATTTGGCTTAGAAGCATACCTGGACTATCAGACGAGCTCAGATAATATATAGACGTTGGATCACTGATTGATGGAATTTTGAAAGAGGTGGATGTGCTGCTCCCAGTCATTGCTTCAGATATGAGGTTTCCCAAAATACGGTTGGATTGAAGGAGTGGTTTGGCACACACCGAACCTCACTGTTACGAGTCACACGACTCCTCTTCTTCGATGGGCACACACCCTCTGAACGAATCAGTGGTGAAACTCACCACAACTCTAATACCATAAGAAAACCACGAAGGGGATAATAACTAAGAAACAATTGAGAAAACCATACAACCATAATTCAGAGAAGGAGAAGAACAAAGGAGAAATTCTTTCTCATAAAAGACATATACAAGAGGGGCCGAAGGCCACAGTATATATACAAGTTGTGGACAGAAAAATAGTAAGTAAAAGAAAAAGAAAATAAAGGAAAAAGGAAAGTCTAGCAAGATAATATACACCTTCCTAACTCAGAGGATATACACTTTCTTAATTGTAATTTCCTATTATACACCTTCCTAATTCGTGGGATATTACTCACTTTCCTATTAGGTTCAATTACTTTGTGCTTCTACGGCTTCATTTTACTTTGTGCTTTTCTCCCTGCCGTGGTTCAATTACTTTTCTCCCTACGGTGGTTTTAAGACGTCAACGACTTCATCTACAACGGCTACATTTTACTTTGATATATTTTAGAACATAAAAAGTCATTTCTGGTATACTTTAACACAGAACAATAATAAAATCATTTTTGGGTTAATTTGTTTCTGTGTTAATTTTTTTCTCTTTTGTAAAATCATTTTTGGGTTATTGCTGGTTAAACTCATGGGCTCCTGAGGATCAAACAAATCCTCCCCTTCTTCAACCTCCAAATCAAATGCAGCATCCACCTTTGATGAATCCTCGGCCCCATCAAAGAAAAACCGAAAACCCCTTTTTTTATAATCCTCTTGACTCCCCAACCCTTACGGCAGCGCGGGATTTGATGTCCTAATGGCAGTGGGATTTTCCTTCTTGAAAATCTCTTTTATTTTGTAGTAAATAATACTTTTAGATACCATTAAGGGATTTGACCGATTAAAACCTTAGACTGTATTTGGTTTGAAAGAAAAAAAGTAGGAAAAAGAAAGGAAAGGAATGAAAATCCATATAAGGTTTGTAAAGATTTCCTTACCTTTTCCTTTCTTTCTCTACTTTTCCTTTAAACCAAACATAACCTTAAATGAATTTTGATAAAAACCACCCGATTGATTACCATTTTCATCACTCGATTGGTTATAAAATTTTCTGTTTATCATGTTTTTCCGGCATCATAGTCCAATGCAAAGCATACCTATGAATGCAAAGAAATACACTACAAAACAATGGAAAAGAAATAAAGATGACTCTAGCTGAGATTGTGATGGTAACTCTGCGTCCCAACTGGCAGCAACCAAGATGCAAGATGGAGTCTCCACCGTGGAGAACCCACCCATCCCGTTGTACCTTAAAAAACCATTTGCACCACCATATGTGCTGCCTTAGTGGTATATATCATTTTTTGAGATCATACATTCCTTTCCTTTATCTTCAAAATGTTGTTTGAAATGAAATAAATCTCCACATCACTGTCGACCCCATTTCTTGATAAAGCCTTCATAATTGTTTTGCAACTGCTTTCCCCATTCACTCTTTGTTGCTTCCAATCTTTCGCAAAATGTAGACCTGATGCTATCGGGCTAGATTCAGCTAAAAGGAAATTTAAGGGTGTCCACCAGCACGAGTATTTTTGTTTCTCAACATCAAAGTTGAAACTTGAAAATATATACACAAAAATTGTATATCGTGAGTTTTCAACAAATTAATAATAATAATAATAATAATAATAATAATAATAATAATAATAAATTAATTAATTACTAAAATCAAGGTTTTTAAAATTGAATTGGACAATGAACCGCTCAGGGGTCCGGTTCTCGGGTCGAACGGTCAAATCGTTTGAACTAAATGAACGGTCTGCTCTGACAAAAAAATAAAAAATAACCAAACAGTTAGACGGTTCAAATGGTTCAACCACTTGAATCGGCGATTTTCTAATCAAATCAACAATTTTTGACAAAATAATGGTTCTAAGGTAAAACGAAATCGATCATCCCAATTTTTCCAATCCAACCATCCGGTCTGGTCCGGTTTTGAAAACCATGACTAGAATCATCTGACTCTCAGTAGTCATAATCTTGTTGAACCTCGATAACAATATGTTGTGTACGATACAATGATATTATCGACATTTTGAACCTTGCTTAAATAATTATTACCCCAGCAAAAACAATATGATTTAGCTGATGTGGATGTGGTGCATACCTATTGACACCCACCTAATTGTAATGCCTTCATACTAATGTCTAAAACTTCTCCCAACTTTTAGATGCCTCCAAAGAACCCCCCTAACATATTCCATTAAATAGCGTTATAAAAAATAAAAGAAGACAAACTTACTGCTCTACCTATCACACATAATGTATTGTTCAAATATGTGCTTTATGGTATTCCCAAAATGCCCTTAAGCAATGACTATTCTACAAATGAATAAGATGCCACAGACATACAAGCTAGGGATGGGGGTTTTTGGGTTCAGGGGGGTGGGTAGCCCCATGAACAAAAAAAAAAAAAAAGAATTCATGAGCAAGTGGTCATATTCATGTTAGGTGTTGATGCATTATATTGAGGGTCATGATCAATGATTAGATCTTTGAAAGTATTAGACAAATCTGTTTAATATAAATTTGGGCATACCATTCATAGGTGTGATTTGAATAAACTGACTTTTGACTTTTTAGAGAGAGAGAGAGAAAGCATGTGCCAGATGTCATTTTAAAATTACTTTTCATGGAGCCCATGAGAAAATGTGACATATAGGAAGTATATGATTTTTAAAACCTTGTGACATGGGTTAATTCATATATTATAAAACGTGACATAAGGTCTTTAGTTCATATTTTCTATTGTAAGTTTTAAGAATTCATCTTCCCTTCCCAAATTTTGAAGAGGGTCTGGGTCTTGGACTTTTGGTCTTTAGTTCATATTATAAAAATACTCAGCCTGTTCTTATTCTTCCTAACCAAACCAATGCCCATCCAATCAATTGGAGTGATCCTTACCCACTGATCAGACGGCAAGACTTATGCAATTGTATGAAAAGGTTTGAGGTCAAATAAATCCATCAATGGACTCTGCATCGTTTCGATTTCCTATTCCAAAATATCTCGTCTCAGCCACTCATTAATTTGAGTTATAGCAGACTGTCCCCATACGCTATTGAAAATTGAACTCGTGGCTCCCTCTTCTCATTGCAAGTCAGCTATTCAAGCTAACCACTGCCTAGTCTTTAATCCAATTGCATGACTTAGATGACCATAAAAAGAGTTAGTTGTAATTACTCTCCGGTCTTCAGTGGTCCCTTTTGCCGTTTTGCGCTCTGATATCGTTAGTGGAGTGGAGTAATTGTTATTGATGCTCATGCCATAGTACAGGGTGGTTTTTGTTACAAATAAAACCGAGGGCTATGATTGGACTGTTAACATGGGCGACGTGGCTTTATTATTCACCGTTGAAATGAGTTCTCCTTCTGATCTGGCGAAGCCGATCAAATTGGTTCGAGTCTTTGAGGTGGTTTGTACATGATTATCCAGAATATGGGTCACGGACTCACGGTCAAGGAATAGGATGGAGTATTCGTTTTCTTTCCCGAGGCGAGGGCCTAGGGCCGGTTAGATTTTTAGAATTTTAGAATCTTGAATCAAGGCAAGGTCGGGTCGGGTCGGGTCGGGTTCTACTGGCAAATATACCAAAGGAACAATGCGATGTAGAGATCAGAGCTGTCCAAAATCCAAAAATGCTGTAAAGCATTAGGCTGACCGCTCGAGTTTCGTCTGCGACTGCGAGGGAGAAAAGGTTCTTCCGTAATTTTGACAAACGGTAGTGCTATTCTTTCGCCCAAGCTTCAATAAATACTGTGAAGGCAAGGCGAGGAGTCGAATATCTCTCTTCTCTCCAATCTCCATGAGGAGGAATGGAGGACCATGACCAAGAGACCAAGAGAGAGAGAAAACATGGAACGGATGCTACCGTGACTGAAGAATAGATTTGGTAAGTAAGAAAAGTGTTTCTCGTCTCTCTGCTATTGTTGTGTGAGGAAAATAGCAGGTAGTAACTTGTCATTCAAAGTGAGAGTGAGAAAGGTGGATAGATAGTTGGAAAAAGAGAAATGGCGAATCAGTTGGAGAACTTAGTTCAGTCGATCAAATCGAAGGTGAGAGCTCTGAAGAAATCGAAGAAGCCCTACATAAAAATGGACAGGAGTTCTAGCGTTAAAGTCGAGATCCGAAGCAGGCAAGCTAGAAAGCTCATTGACAAAACCTTGAGGGTGGCGGATCGTCCGGGAAAGAGAAGTATTTCTTGACGTCTCCTTTCACAGAAAGGCTCTTTCCGTTGAGTTTATTTTCCTTCATCCATCTCTGTGAATATAAACATCTCTTTGTCTTTAGTTTTAATCAAGCGCTTATGTTTTATCACTGTGTTTCCATCCGTAGAACATAACGGATTTGTTTTTTCCAGCCGGATGGCTTGTTTTGCGCTAGGGTTTTAAACCGTCTCGTTGAGCTTAAAAAAGGAGCAAAAAAAAAAAAAACTAATTTGTTATGAAATCGCTATGTAACCGTCAAGTTTGAATCTTACCTCTTTCTGTTATCTTCTGACTTCTGTTCGGTGCGTATGGAGATCGAGGGGTTCTGACGGATTCTACTATAGTTGATTCCCATCGTTTATTTGGCGTGGTTCATTTTTCATTTCATCTCTGGAGATGTTTGGGTTTTCTGTTTTCGTGGAGAGTGCAGATGAAAACTGTTGATGTTGGTTGCACCTTGCACGACACGAATCATGTTTTTAGTGGCTGCGTTGTAGTATTCACAAACGGTAGTGCAGGGGTTCCACGATCACGATGCGTGATGGGTGTGATATTTCTTTCTGTCCTTTGGAGTTCAAAAGTCAAAACTGGACGGCTTAGAATTTTGTGGCCCCACACATCCAGTACGTATCGCGAACCACAGTGCAACTGTTTCCTCTTCACGGTGGCAAGCTGCCTTGTGTGTTCCCTCGACCACCACTAATCTATAGGACTGGAGAGTAGGGCCTACCATTAAACATTTAAACGTTTCCCTCTCAATTAGATAGGTTTCGTATCCAAATGAATCTGAGATCATTCATAAGATATGATAATTTTGACCATCATTTTGTAAATTAACACCATGATTAGCATTCATCATCAAAATACGTGGTCGTCGTTTTGAATTTATAATCGGTAATGGCAATATTTGGAGGAATTGTTTAAGTTCCTGGTCAAAATGGTTGTATACCTTAATTTCTCCCCCATCAGGTTTTCCAGATGGGGACCACAAGTTGGGTGCCGGTCTCGGATGTCCATGAGGGTGATTTAGAATATTTGTTTGAAAAGCACGTGCCAGCTCCAATTCCAACACTGTTTTGAGATCGGGAATGAATAAAAAAAAAAAAAAGAGATCAGGACGCTGAACCGTTTTATGTATGGGTACGTGGGTCAGAGGGAATGGATCTGCTCCTCACACTTGGGCGCTTTACATGTACATCTACTATGCACATTGGAAACAAAAAAAATAAATAATTGAAATAAAAAGATATAATTTTAAAAATAAATAAAAAATATAAAAATTGAAATTTAAGGGTAAAAAGTTGTTTTTTAACAAAAACAATGAACTTCGAGTGACCCGATGTTAGATGTCAGGATGTTATCCAAAATAAAAATAAAAAATCATTCCAATCTAATAATCGAATGCAACTTATGACCTACATAAGTTTCGAGCGACCCGATCAAAGGGGTCAGTGGTTTTCAACTAGTGGCTCTTTGATGAAATCAATGGTTTTTTGAAACAGGTTTTAGAAAAAATGGGCCCAACAAAGCGGCTAGGTGATGGTTTAAATGGTTCAACGGTCCAAGTTAATCATGGGTTGAAAACATTGTTTTGTACATGCAAATTAGCCTTAGGGGAAAATCTATGTTCTAATTTTTTCAATAAGACCTTGCCAATGCGTGAATTGGACAAACTGTCAGTGGGGGATCAAAGAAGTGATTCCTCGCACGAACTACTGTGTTTCTTCTACAATTGATGATCTAATCGATCCCAATCATCCATCACCCTACGGCACCCTCTGGATTGATCAGGTTTAGCCTTTGTATATGTGATTTATGGTACTAGCAATTCAGGCTCAGTTTGAGAAGGGTAAATTATAAATATATAGTGTGTAAAACTTTATATATTTCCAACCTTTGTATTTGCAGTGTACATATTTGTAATTGTACTCTTTCCAAACTGAACATCAAGGAATTTCTCCAATACAATGGCCTATTATAGACACAAGGATAGGGAGCTTTTGCCATAGAAGTTGCCCCATGAACAATTGTCAGAAACATAAGATAATGGACCCCTGTTGGACTCCCGATGAAGTTGCACATAGACGTATAGTTCGATCTATGTGTATATGCATGCATACACATGTATTTATTTTCACTTATCTTCAGCTTTAATTTAAAGTTCAGGGACCTAAGCAACTGAAAAATTGGCTGAAACGATATCTACATCTCCCAATGAGACGTCAGGAAATCCATGTTTCTATTCTTGACGGTGGGTAGCCAGAGATTAATTTTGTACTGTAACAAGCCCAAGCCCTCCAGCTCGTTTAATTGAATTTGCTTAAGCCAAGATCGGACGTGTTGAGTTTGATTTCCAGACGTTTGGACAGTGTTAGTGTTAGGCAGACTCAAAAATATGAGTGCCGGTGGTAAAACGGGCCCAGTTGAATATCAAATAAACCACCAATACATTTCGGGCCCACTTGGAGGTTATAGAATATACGGCTTACAGATCACGGCATGGGGTGGAATCTACTGAAAATTGGGGGTAGGGATCACGTGGTCAGTCCTTTGGCCACAGTGGAACACGGATGACTAACTCACAGGTCACAGGGGACTCTTTCCTTTTCCTATATTCAAGAATTTGAGGTGAAATTAGGATCTACCTGTGTTGGGCCTCAAGCTCTAAGTTCATAGTTATCTTTGGTCAGAATTAATCATGGATGGAGAAATGGGCCCAGGACTTTTCATGAGACTGAGCTTTGGCATTTATTGTTCATTGTTTTCTTTTCTTTTTTTTTTTTTACTCGATAGGATTGTTAAATGGTGAAACATTTAGGTTTTATCGGATAAATACATTTATCTATGTTATTTTATTTCTCAGGTAAGTAAGGTAATGACCGTTTTAGTTATAAAAATCTATTATTGAAAGGGACATTTTTTCTTATTCAAGTGTTGGTAACTTTTTCCCCAGGTGGAAAAGTTATTTATCCATCTAGGAAATGGGTTCACTTACCCATCAACTAAAATTTTCATGGTCTCCATATAAATCTGAAAAAGAACATGTATTTCTTGACTAATGGGAACCTAAATTCCATTGGCCAACTTCCCCCTCTCAAATCCGAAAAAGAACACCCCTTTAAGGGCATAACTAATCACCTTGACATGCCATTGAGCAATTAAAGAATTCAAATTCTTGCTTATCCTTGAAAATTAAACCAATAGACAATTAAAGAACCTTAGGCTATGTTTGATTTGAAGGAAAAGGTAGGAAAAGAAAGGAAAATATAGAAACTCCAAGTTTCCCTACCTTTCCTTTCCTTCAAACCAAACACAGTATAAGCAAGAATCAATTAGAAAAGTCCCATGGCCTTTGCTTTTCTTTCCCTACTTTTTTCCTTCAAACCAAACATATAAGCGAGAGTCAATTAGAAGAGTCCGATACTGTACTGTTCTTCCTTGTCAGATACTCAAGCTCATGTTGCTACGCTGACAGCTCATCTCTGGGGCATCGTTTATTGCCTTAACTTAAAGAAAAACTTTTATAGAGAATATAGCTTTCACCCTTGCTACAAGAGATAAGTGATAATAGATAGATAGACAAAAGAAAGCTAATGCGTGATCTTGAAGACTGTTCATGGTTATCTGTCCATGTTGCCTTGACTCTTTGATTCCTGTGTGATTTTTTTTTTCATAAAACGGAGGGGCTATACAGCTCTGGGGGTACCACGTCCTAAAAACTCAAAGCAATAAATTAACTTTAAAGGTCTTAGAATCATTTCATTCAAAATAGAATCTCGGAATCAGCCCATTCAACACAGAATCTTTATTATCTTTTAGGTAAAATACAAAAATCTCTCCTAAAGTTTAAGTTTTTGATAATCATAAAAATCTCTCCTATAATTTTAACAGAAACCTCTTTTAAACTTTTAAAGAATTTAACAAAAACCTCCCTTCCATCACCGATTCAGACGAAAAACGTTGGACCAATGTATCAAATTCTTTCAAATACCCATTTTGCCATTTTGTTTTCCTGCTTGGCCCCGTTGGCAGTAGCTTCGATGCTTCACTCGAAGAGAAGGATTTATCACAACAAACCCATGATTTACAGGTTAAGCTTCAATTAATAGATACGGATATTCAAATGCTAGAGGCAGACTGACGGAGATGGAGACTGAGCACAAATCGGAGGAAATGTGACTGTTGACTTCGTCTTTGCCTAGGACATCAAGACCGTAAGAGTCGACATGGAAGAGAAGCTTGGATTTGGAACCGTAGACAGAGAAGTCGTCGTCGGCGAGGAAAAGAGATGTCTTGAACACCGTAAGCTAGGTTTCCTCTTGGTAGCAAAAACTCTCTCGAACCAAAATTCCTCTTCTCATGTTTCATTAACAACTACAATCACTGAACCACATGTTTCATTCAAATCTCATATACCCACGAATAATTAACTCAATCTTCTACAGTGGAAAAATAAGAACTAAAGAAGAAAAGATTGAAACCTAGGACTAGGAGTTGCAGATCTTTGACAAACTTCTTTGCCTCTGTCTCTCTCCCCCTCCTATGTTTCAGCCCAAATATCCAAGGCTACTTTACACTTCGTTTGGAACAGACGGAACTGTCCATCAAATTGGGACCAACTCATTTCCATAAAAAATTCCTCCTCATTAGAACTGATTCAACTGACAACTGAGTAGTAAAATCAGTATTCTAGAGAAAATGAGTAAGGGAGCAAACTGATTTTCTCATGCAATTCGATTCGTTACACATGTGGTATATGATCCATTACCTACTTGCTGCTTCGTTTAAAACAAACACCCACATCCATTATCTGGACGATAGAGAAAAAAAGTTGTTGTAAATCTAGGGAAAAAGCTCATCAAGTTCATAAACTCATCATCACATTGATTGGGACAATCCGTTATCTAGGATAAACCAAGTAGAAAAGTGAGAACTTAACTTAATGGAAAAGTGCAAATTCCTTGTTTTCTATTTGCCATTGTTAAAGGTAGAAGTGGAATCCCAAATTTAATTTAATGGAAATTCAAAAGGATGAAAAACAAGGGTTTCAATGGATTTGAAATACTTGCTATGGATGAGGGATGAAATCGATAAAAAACCTCCTTTTTGAGTTTTGAGCAGAATATAAATATTTGTGGATGAGTTTCTGTTTTCAACTTTTTATTTAGGCAGCTTGATCCAAAATTACAGTTCAGACTGTTTACTCTCTACATGGGAATCTAGTTGAAATTCCTCCCATGGGAGAACACACCACCACCCCTTCGCCTTTTTTGTCTGGAAGTGAAAACCATAATACAGCAACAATTACCGACCAACATTGTGACAACCGGAACAATCTATGTTCTATCTTTGTGAGGGAAAAACTTGAATTCGACTAACTAGTATGCAATAAAGGGCCCATGAATCCCAATCGTGTTTATAGTGAGATTTTTTTGTCGATTTTCGTATAAAGGGTATTTTAATAAAATATATGTACATTAATTTATAAAAGGGTAAAATGAGTATTTAAAATAATTTGATGCATCGGTTTAAGGTTTTTGTTAAAGTAAAATTATAAGGGAGGTTTGAACATGGTAAGGGGTTTTTGTATTTTACCCTTACCTTTTTTGATTCTCGTGTGATTATATAAACTTAAAAAAAAAGTCCTAAGTTAACGTAATTTAGTATTAAAACATTGTAGGGGGTTTGTGAACCCGACGTGAATCGAACACGCAACCTTCTGATCTGGAGTCAGACGCGCTACCATTGCGCCACGGATCCAGAGGACTATAATTGTTTTGAAGCTAGCCTTTAATAATCAATACTCGAACCGAAAACAAGGCTATATCGAACCCTCCGGCCTCCACGATGGTCGTGCTTTTTGGATGCACACATGGTTACAGCTGCGAGAGCGAGCCGCCGCGCTTGGGCCGTAAGAGAATTAAGTATACTCGGCCACGTGGACTCTAAGCAACCGATGTGGCAGATGCGAAAAATTTAGCAAATAAAAAGAATCTTGCTGCTGATTTCCCTCATTCATCTGACCCAAGTCCTTAACCGTGGGTTCACGAGTTACGATTCTTCACATATATTGAGTACTTTGAGGAGAGAGTGAGAGAATAAGAGAGATCTGTTTGCGGAGGACTCGTGGTTTTGCGACTGTACGTATGTATTTTTCTTTTTCGTTTTTTGTGAAAGAATTTTTTCTTTTATTAATTTAGGAAAATAAATAAAAACCAAGGTCCAGGCGGAGGCGGGTCTCCGGCCGGGGGTTAGGAAATTCTGTTCTTTGACCCGCTATCCTTTTCGCTCGGTCCTTTTCCTGCTTCCCTCCCAGAATTTACTTCACGCCCTTACGCTGTTCTGCTCTTCTGAAACTCTCTCTCTCTCCTGCTTCCGAGTTTCGAAAACGCTTGGGAGGAAAAATCGCTGAAAGCCTGAAAAACTGTCAGAAAGGAGAGAAAAAAAGGTTTTGCCTCCTGAGAAATGTGAAACTTTATTGAGCAAAACAGAGTCTCCGACAAGGTGAGCTCCTTTACTATTTGGCTTAACTATTTGTACTTTCCAGATTTTACTTTGATGTCCAAAAACGATAAAATTGTTCAGGTTTTTTGCATTGTTCTTATAAGATCTAATCTATGAATGCTATGGATTTAAGGTCGTGTTTAATAGATGAGAACGTAAGCTGAAAAAGAATCCGTGCTTGTGATTTTTTAATTGAAAATTTAGTCATATCTGAAAAGAAAACATTTCGATCTTCGTTCCTCTTCTCTAGTAATTATTATTCTCTCTGTTTGAATTAGTGAAGACTCTCCGGTGTTTTGAAACTTCTTCTGCTTGAAAAGTTGTTTCCTTTTCCCACACAGTGCTCGAGTTTTCTATGAGCTAGGGAGCTTCGTCCGTCAATTCGACTTCTTTTTCTTAAAAGGCATATGACAGAAGGCCTGATTCTGATAGCGATGCTTTTGCCTTTAGCTTAACTTTTCTCAAAAATTAAAAAAAAAAAGGATATTGTGCTTATTTCTGTGGCTTCTGTATTCCTTCTTCTTTAAGGTTCAAGCTTTTTTTCTCTTTAGTTGTGTTTGTGTGGTTCTCATTCACATCTCCTCCGAGAAACTATCGCAAGAGATCCTTCATACATGTATGTGCCTTAGATTGATGACAATTTGATTTGATTCGATTCGATTTTTTCAATAAAAAACATTGCTGTGGGCCTTAACAGACGAAAACATCAGATGATCAAACTACAGGGAAGGTTCTCCAAGAATCTCTTCTCCTTTTCTTGCCTCTTATATGTCATAGATTATTTCTTTCTTGCTTCTTCTTTCTTCATTTATTGTTCTCACTACTACATCATCATCTTCATCTTCTTCTCCTCATTGTTACAAGGTTTAAGATTTTATGATCCATCTGTGATGAAAAGAAATAACTATTAATAAAACGGTGGATCTTGAATCATTATTAGATTATTAACGGGGAGAGCGAGTGTCTTGTGCATAGGGGAGATGTTCTGCTTGAAGTGTCTTGTGCATAGGATGTGGCCAGCGTTTGTGATCCGAACTCTTCAAGCAAGCATCAAACTCCTGTTAAAAGGAGTTGCTTAAAAAGCAAGACGCTGCAGTCACCGTTCGATTATCTAATCCTTTTTTTTTTCTGGATAGATGATTGTCTATCTAATTCATTTAAGATTCCCTTTTCCTCTTCCTAAAGTAAATAAATATATAATTGATTACTACTACTGTTTTAGTGTATAGAAAGAGAGAGAGTGGTATTTATCAAAACGAGAGAGAGAGAGAGAGAGAGTGGTGGACTAATATCGAGTGTGTTGATTCTGGAATTGCAGGCAGCATGGAGATCATTGTATATAAGCCATATTTAGATCCTGAGTTCGAATCACTCATTGAAAGAGTCCATCCGCCCAGGTACGAAACTATGAATTATTAAACAGTTCATCAGCCCAGCCGGTTGCTTCTTGTTTCTTCTGTATCTCTCTGCACCTATACTTAAGAGTCTAGACACGACACTCGTCGCTGTGCTGGTGGTGGCACGATAACTGGAAATTATACCGATGATGGAGAATATACGATACATGGTTCTTTTCCCTAGGAATTTGGTTTAGACGACGTTTGGTAGCGCTCTGCTGGTATTCCCGGGGCGATAAGATGTTGCTTTTCTTCTCCTGTTATCAGAGTACCAGAAACCTTCCTTTTGAAACGTTACCAAACGCAACCTTTACTTGTTCTTCTTTGATTTGATTTCTTCTTATATTTATTCAATTATTTGTTTTTATCTGGTCCGTCTCTGTAGGGTTTGCATCGACAACGACGCATGTGGAGACTGCACTCTTGTAAAGGTAAATGATCTTCCAAGTTCGTCTTCCCCCCTCCCCTCCTCGATGCTTATGTCATTTGATAAAGAGGACGTACTTCTCATACAGTCTTCGTCGAAATGGGATAGGAAGACAGACAGTAATTTCCTCCGAAGAATCTTTGCAACTTTTAAGCATTTAGTAGTAGTATTATTATTATCTACTTCAAAAATTCAAATTGAAAAAAAAAAACAGAAAAGAATAACGATTATATGCGCAATCATTCTCATGAATAATAATAATAATAATAATAATAATAAATAATAATATAATTAGACTATTAGAGTATCTTTTTACATGCCTTGATCAACAACTCCTCAAGCTTATTTATCCCAACTTAAGGCAAGTATGCCAAAAACTAGGGAAAAGTGAACCAAATCCTGCTCTTTTTATTGTTCTAGTTGGATTAGCAAAATCTTCTTTTTGTTAGTGTGTAGAAGAAGACTCCGACACAAAGATAACATTGGTGACTGGGCTCCACTTGTCACTCTGTCTTTTCTTTTCTTCTTTCTCTGTACAATGGAATTTGTTGCTAACTGGGGGGAGGAGAGAGATTGTGTTTTAATTGATGAAAGAATAAAGCACTGGATGAACTTAATTAATGGGCTTAAATGAGCAGGTTGATAGCGCGAACAAGCACGGGATTTTATTGGAGATGGTCCAAGTTCTGACGGACCTCGACCTCGTCATCTCCAAATCTTACATCTCGTCCGACGGCGGGTGGTTCATGGACGGCAAGTTTCTTCTTCATCATCCTCCTCTTTCACTTTTAAGAACCTTTTTCACTTAATTCATCAATCATTTGTTAATTAACAATAAAATAATGATTAATTAATCGGATACCATTAAGATCCTCAAGTGGTGATAGGCAGTTTGTTGGTGGTTCTTACATGTCCAAGAATGATTTATACATGTGATTATTTAGTTGAATTGGTTATAGCTGACATCTCTGTATTCTGTTACTATAAATAAGTCATTCGAATGCAATAATAGATGCTTTTCTTTATTGCTCATTCTGATTTTATAGAAAGTGCTCATTATTCTATTTCTTTTGTGCGGTTGCTGTGTTGTGTGCAGTGTTCCATGTGACAGACCAGCTTGGGAACAAAATAACCGACGAAAGCCTCATCCATTACATACAACAGGTCTGCTTTTCTTTCATCCTTTTTCTTTATCCTCTTCCTTTCCACGTCCTTGTTTTTTCTTCCTTAATTAAAAAAATAAATTTATCTCCTTTCAGAACCCAGAAGCCCATACTTCTCTTACCCAACAATTGAATATTTGAATAGATGATGAATCTAACATACATTAGAATGTCTTCCACTTTCATTTGATAGTCGTTTTAGTTTCCTTTCAATTACTTACTACTGTTGGATTCACGTCATCGTCATGGTCGTGCAGTCACTAGGTTCAGGAAGGAGAGGAGGAGGAAACGCAAAAGAGGTGCAGACATGCTTGGGCAAGGTGGTGGGTCCAAGACACGTGTCTACGCAATACACCGCTTTGGAGATCACTGGGACCGATAGACCGGGCCTCTTATCAGAGATATCAGCAGTGCTGACAGAGCTTGGGTGCCACGTGGTGTCTGCTGCTGCTTGGACGCACAACACCCGCTCTGCTTGCATCATCTACGTGGAGGACGCATCTAGGGGAGGCGGACCCATCACGGATCCGGATCGTCTGACCAAAGTGGAGGAGCAGCTGGAAAACGTCGTCAGCGCCCACCACGGAAACGGAAGCGGGGAGCGGAAGAGGGTCAGGTTGTCTGTGCCGTCAGCCAGCCGAACCCACACTGAGAGGCGGTTGCACCAGTTGATGTTTGCTGACAGGGACTACGAAGAATGTGGCACTGGTGATTATACTACCGAAAGTGGTGACGGCGACGTCGACCGTAAAATGGCGTTAGAGTTGGATGGGGAGGGAAGTTGGACAGGGAGGACAGAAGTGTCGATAGAGAGCTGTAACGAGAAAGGGTACTCGGTGGTGAGAGTGAGGAGCAGGGACCGGCCGAAGCTGCTGTTCGACACGGTGTGTACGTTAACCGATATGCAATACGTCGTCTTCCATGCCGCTGTTAGCTCCAACCATTCCGTCGCTGTACAGGTATCCTTATTTTCCCTTAATTTTTTTAAATGTCATCATCATGTTGCTGGAATTCTGGTCAATTCCTATCTCCTCTCCTTGCTGGATGTACGGCCTCTCTGACCTCAATCTAGCCGTGGCCAACCCAGAGTTCCAGTCTTCCAGACTTTCTGTCCATATCATGGTGAACGTCTTTAATTCATCATATGTTTTCCACTAGAACCAAAATGGGACACCTTTCTTTAAGTAGGGTATAAGAATTGAGGTATTCACTAAGCTAGGCAACATGGGATGGGCGGATGGGGTAGGTAGCTACGAGCAAGGGAGGTACCCGTTGTTGGGCAATAAGAGTTTCTATTTATATACTTCTGATGGCCGTGATGGTGGTGTAGCTCCAAACCCGTAAAATACCAGGCTGAGGGTACAGGCCCAAAACAAATATCTATTTATTAGTTTTTCAAGTAATAGTAAAGTTCTTTCAATTTTTAATTTTAAAAAATATAAGTTGCCCATCTAAAAACTGGCTTATTTTATCATATGTATAGGTCCTTGTGTTCGAGATATTTTCCATATCGTTACCAAAAAAGAAATAATAAAAGAAATTCCATAAACCAAGCCTGAGGAAAGGAATCATTGATAATGCCATGGTTCACTGTATTGTTTCCTGCGTGTCGCATGGAGCCAACAAGCACACATGGTTTCCTACAATAATATTTTTTATCCAACTTGTAGACAAGTAGGATAGCTTAAAAGCCTAGATCAGATTAAATGAGTATAACAAAATGTTTAGATATGTAATTTGACATGGAAATCTGTGTTCACCCTAAGTTAGAGCATTCAATTTCATTTAACGAAACATTGGATGGGGGAAAAACCCACCTGCACTCATAAATGTAGTTATAGGATTTTGGTGCGTCCTCTGCCTTGGATGCCCTTTCTGTGATGTTGTAAAACCCTACCTGGTTCAACCTAGGCACAGAATAAGTTAGTTTCTTAAGTTAAATTATTCAAACACATTCATGATTATATATATAGCAAATTGGAAAACTAGGAACCGCCTTATATGACAACTCGACGGTGTACCGTGTACATCAGTACATGCTCACAATGGTAATGGTTAGATTAATGATTCATCTTGCATATCCAGGAGTATTACATACGCCACATGGACGGATGCACATTGGATACGGAGACTGAGAGATGCCGAGTCACCCAGTGTTTAATTGCTGCCATTGAGCGACGAGTCTCTCATGTATGCCCAGTAAGTTTGCCCCTTCCCTTGTACACATTATGTATGTTACAAGTAACTTATGCTTTACCTCTTTTTTGGCATCCACCGTCCTGCAGGGATTAAGACTGGACGTATGCACTCGAAATAGAGTGGGATTACTCTCCCACATAACACGAGTGTTCAGGGAGTATGGGCTTTCAGTGTCGAGGGCAGAGATTGGTACTCGCGGCGAGACGGCAACTGGATCATTCTACGTAATTGATTTATCGGGGAATGATGTCGATTCCAAGACAGTGGAGTTGGTGAGGAAAGAGATCGGGGGAACGGTCCTGGAGGTAAACAAGTCCTCAGGTTGGCCTGCTCCCACCTCATGCAGCAATGGCTCTGTGGAATACAGGTCAAGATTCTCATTGGGTAGCTTGCTGTGGGCTCAGCTGGAGCGTCTCTCAAGCAACTTTGGATCTATAAGATCATGAGTGAGGAATGCGCATTGCTTACTAATGTGAAAAATCTAAATGATGCTGAATCACTCTGTAAATATTAGTCCTCCTTGCTCTAGTATTTACTTAAAAAGTTTAAACTCATGTAGGGTGCTATTCTTACTTAGTATTACTGCAATTTCTATCTGTGTGTAAAATAAACAACCATCGTTGTTTTATGACGGTGCATGAATTCTTGTTTTGCAGAGTGAAGGTTCTTCCGTTCTTATTTTGTGAAGTCTATCCCTTGCACACTTGGGGAGCGTTCTTTTTTTTTTTATTTTTATTTTGGGAGGGGGAAATCCATTTGGATATTCATCTCCTAGGTGAATAAATAATATGGTTTTTAAAAACGATTCGGAGACCGAACCGGTCAGGGTCCAGTTATTGGGTTGAACGGTTGTCCCATTCTGAAAAAAAAATTAAAAAATAAAAAATAGTCAAAACTATTCGAACAGTTAACAATCCAAGTCAGCAGTTTGCTGACCAAAATCAATGATTTTGGGCAAATTTTCGATTTTGGGGAAAATCGAAGCTGGTCACCTAACTGGTTTTCAATTTTTCTGATCTGATCATCTGGTCCGATCCGGTTTTAAAAACCATGATAAATAAGGCCCCGTTTGACATCAATTCTAGAGATTCTCATTCTCAGAATCCTTTCAAAAAAGAATGAATTCTGAGAATTTTCCTCTAGAGAATCGTCAGAAGTATTTGACACAATCATCTAATTCCTGTTTCTTATAAACAGAATCGCCTTTGGCAGCAACCAATTTCTTGGAATCGATTCTCTAATATGATTGGTAGACAAAACCAAGTCAATTTGGTGTTAGATTTCTAGTCTTCCGCAAGTAACCAACAAGTGCTCTAATTGGTTATTGCATAGATGGGACAGGTGTTGTGTTGCACGTTGATTGTGTGCCTACTTGGTGTATCCATTACAACAATGTACACGAATCCACAATCCTATTATAAATAAAAAAAGGAATACCATCAATTTTTACAGTCATTCCTCCATTCCACGCCCGAGCTTTGCCAATTGGCTACCTGATTTGCTTCACTGAAGAGATCAAGATTATTTAAACTAAACTGGTCGAGTCAACTGATTTGTAAATAATCAATAAATGATTCAGTTTGGTAGTAGCATTGAGGGGTGGCTTTAGCATATCTTCATGTGTATTCTGTGTACTATCTGCTTGTATACCATTCATATAGATTAAATAATCAGTAAATGATTCAGTTTCTCCATGCCACTTAGACGAGTCAGTCTAGCATGCTTGAATTTTTTCCAATCATTTTTCAGTCTGTTGTGTTTTGTGGTGGCATGACTCAAATGAATTGTGGCCGACTTGGCCAAATTTCAGGCCATGCTAAGACAAGCTCTTTGGAGTTACGGGCAATGACCTACTGCTTCTATGAAGTTTTTCTGTTCAAACAATTTACAAGAAATTAGACATTCCTTCTGTTTAATGATGATCAGATGGTGGTGACTGTGTATATTTGTTATAAAATCAGCAATTGTTCTTCTGTATAGCTGCCAATTTAAATGCTTATTCTTGATTTGTATTGTAGTTGTTTGGTATCACAACCACAATAGACCCCAGCTATATCATCTCAATGATACATTCTGTTTGTACCAAAAGGTACACCATCGATTCCACAGTACCAAATGATAGGGCTATGGTAATGCATGAACAAGAAAGTGCATTTCCATAAGATTGAAAACATCGGATGCAAAACACCATTAACAAAGAAGAAAAAGAACCAAAAGTCGAAAGCCAGTGGCTGAAATTGCAATATGGTTTTTTCAGCAGTGGAGAAAACATTCAAACCGTATGGTACAAGAGAATAAAATGATTGAAAGAGAAAAAAAAATCAAAATAATACAATAGATTTTCAGCGAGAGATAAAGTATTTACCTGCATATTTTGAGGTTGAGAGCTGTCGAACCAGAACAAAGAAGCTCCTTGACGCCTGGTAAAACCTCAAAACACAGGCAAATACATTGATGTTTGAAGTAGGAAAAAAAACAATGAGATTTTTGGAGAACCAGAGCAATGGTATTATTGAACGATGGGATTTACTTGAGAAACTCTGGGTTGTAGACAGCTTTGGAGAAGCAGAGTGTCGTTGGAGAACCGTTGGAGCTTGAAGTTGGAGAAGAATACGATTATGTGTCCATCTCGTGGATAGACCGTTCCTGTCCATGCCACCGGATGAACATGCCGTTCAGTTGGGCGTGGATGGGACCAGTCCATTGGCTCTGTCAACATTCCAAAATATCGGCAATGGGTATTTATCGTGGAAGGGCTCTGTCCACAGTTTATTTTTTATATTGTGTTTCACATTCACAATCAAAACCCTGCATTTTACCGTTAACCTCTCCACCACCGAAGCGCTCCTCCAGGTTTTCTCCGTCCTTTCCTTTTCCTTCGTTTCTATTGTTGATATTGATTTTGGGGTGCTACTCCCTCTTTTTCCACCACCGTTTCTTTTTCTTTCCAGTTCATCTTCTCTTGCGATTCTTCTCCCAAACACCCCCACCGAAATACAACTTCGAGTCTTCAAGTTTTAAAACCTTTTCATCCAGAGGCATAACCAATAACACCTTTCCAATTCCAAAAGTCGGAGTCAAATCCTTTGAAGAGAACTCTTATTCAAAGGACAATCCTCTATGAATCACCAGTTTTGGATCCCCCCTCTAGCGGAACTACAATATAAAGATTTGTGATATGGATCACTAGGCATCATCCATCACATTAGTAGAGAAGCTTCATGTTATGAAAGCATAGTCAAAGAATAACTGCAATTTTCATGTTGTCCATACATTCTATGGATAGATGTTTTTCTTTGAAAAGAGAAAAAAATGATGTGCATTATGAATGAAGTCAGGGAAGGCTAAGAGAAACCTGGATTTTAGAAGTGAGAAAAAGATTTGATAGATCTTGTGTTTTGTCCTAAGATTGTGCTGAATGGAGGAAACCACTTAGGTGAGATCCAACATGAGCTGTGGTAGACAAGGTAAGGAATTTCCGTTCGAAGAGAAATTTTAATTCTTCAAAATGAGAAGTTTCATAAAAAAATCTGAGATGGAAGAGAAACAATAGGGAAAATGAAATGCTTTCTAAAACTTAAAAATTTGTTAACATATGCAAATTAATTACTTAAAAACTAACACCAAACAACAATCAAGGTAAATAGAAGATAAAAATAATAATTTTTATTTTTTAAATTATTTTATTACTATTTTTGTTGAAATTAATATTTTTAATTAATATTCAATTGCCAAAGCCTTTATTTCAATTTATTTATCATATACATTATAAAAATTAGACATTTATGATCGACTATGTAGATTACTTTATAAATTGTATATGTGACACATAGAATCAAAAAGTGTGGCGTGGACTAATCCATATCACACCTACAAAACGGGGTGTGGAGCGGTCTAGTCCACACAATCTATCTACAGCTCAAAATAGTTGTGAACTGTAGTGTGGTGTGGTGTGCATTGGTTCCTGCCACTAGGTGTGGTGTGGACCGGTCCACACCACCCAATTTCTCATCCACACTACAGAATGCCCCCTTAACTTACTGTGGTGAGAATTACGATTATGAGAAGTTTATTTGCCTAAGGAACCGGTTTCTCATCTAGTTTCAAATGAGAAGCACTTCATATTCGTATCCAAAAAATGTTTCTCATCTTAAGAATCCAAAGAATCATTAAAAATGATTTGTAGAGTGATGGCAAACATAGCCTAACTTTTCCACATAGGGAAAAATTGCCAACACTTGAATGAGAAAAAAAATGTCCCTTTTAATAATGTATTTTTATGACTAAAATAATCATTGTGTTATTTACCTAAGAAATAAAAGAGCATGGATAAATGCACTTATTAAAGTATACTTAGGTAATTAAATTTATATGGATAAATAACTTCCTGAAAATAAACGGGCCCTGGGCCAAAATGTTGCTGTTTTGTTAGATCGGCAGGAATTGGATGCTTACGAAAACGAGAGGCTCGAGCAAGGACTTTTTCCTAGCACTCCGCCTTTACAATCCAACAAAGCATCGGCGTTTAAAACCCCCTTCCAATACATGTAAACTGCCCTGACTAAAAATTGAACAGCACGGTTAGGAGGTAATTATAATAATGAGAATTTATAAGCGCCAGTATCATCATCTAAGCTTTGTTCCAAATACGAGGTTGACTACATTAATCCTGCTTTGCCATGCTTTTCTACTGTCTGCCATATCCATTCTTGAATTACAAGCCTTTTGATCAATTCTTACTACCTCAATCCAAACCCATGTCCTATTTTATCTGCCACTGATTCTTCTAGGCCCTTAACTTGTAAAATCACCTTTTCAACCATGATTCACTAGTCAGAAGGAATGATGGATGAAAAATTATTACGCATTTAAACATGCCTTTTGTTTTACTAGAGACTAGAGACCATCAGTCTACCAGGATCGAGTTGCCTTGGTTGTCATGATCATAGCTTGCTTAAAAAGTCATATCTCTCTCTCTCCCTCTCTCAACACGAGGAAGATGGACTCATGGACATGCCATATTCAAAACAAAACCAATTTAAGGGAGACGATATGTACAAACGCCAGTTGAAACACCTTAATTTGGATTTTGGAGGAGGAACCATTTGGAGCATGGACGTGGAGATGGCACGCGTCACATTTACTAGAGCATCAGGAAGATATACATTCATACTACATCGATTTTATCAACACTCAGCCAGTCACTAGAATCCTTGCTCTCTGGATTATTACCACGCACTTGCTGAAGTCCTATGCTCTCTTTATCAAGGGATCGACAATCCTGAGCTGATTCGGTTGAGCTTCTGCCCAGCTGGACCCAGCCTGTGGAATCTTTTGTTGATGAATCTGAAGCATATGCAACTGTTTTGGATTTTACAGGAAAAATTCCATCATCATCTTCCTCAAGATCACTAAATGATACATCCTCTTCGTTTCCTAGTGGAATGAAGGTAGCATTAAAGCTACCTATTTCTGAGTTCGCTAACCAGTCATCTCCATCCTCTTCAGATTTCTGATCCAAGGCTTTCGAAGATGGACCAATCCATATAGTCTTGGTTGCTGGCCTTTCATCAACAACAGATTTATCAATTATCTGCATCTCAGCAGCACTTACAACTGGATGCTTTTCAGTCTCGAAATCAGTTGAAGCATAAAGAGTATTATTATATGATGCAGATGAACCACATTCATGTGGTGAATTAATGACCTCTCTTTTATATGATATGCCCCATCCTGACCATTCTGGTTCTGACCTTGTTCTGCTCTGTAATTCCTGCATCCACATACTTCTGGCCTCCACAATCTAACATTGCACGAAAGACAGATTAGAAATATTTATTGACGCTTCAAGCACACATTCAAACCAAATATGCAATAACAAAAACTTGACAAGTTTGCAAGTATGAATTTCCTGGATGCAAATAAAATTCAAAATAATCAACAATTTAGTCTTAGTAATTCTGATAACATCTCCAACTCAATGAGTAGGAGAATGGGTAAACGTTAAAGACTTCAGCAGAGGGCTTATCTGAAGATCCTTCTAATTTATTTACTTTGGATTTTAGAAAGGAAATTGACCATATGTTGTATTGTCCTGCCTAATTGTCTTGCTCAACTTTCATTTTCGATGGAATTTAGGTGCCTTTTTTTGTAAATATTTTCTTTCGTCAGTAAGCAGATGCTCACTTGCTCATCCACTTAGAAATGTTTTCGAAGCTCATAATTTCATCATTCCCTAAGGGCAAGAGCTCTACCTTCTCTATTGTGGTGCAACAACTGCAGAGGTCCTCCACGCTCCACCTCCCCTTTCATTAGCTGATAACTATCTAGAATAATCCTCTACTTCCAGCATCTGTAAATCCAATGAGTACATCAATCTCAACCCAGCAGTAAAGCCAATATCTCCATCATGATAGCAGTCCTATGACCTAACAGTCTGGAGTAATCCTGGAGCATCTTAACATTCCACCCATCACCATTCTTCGTCCAACTCATTACTACATAGGCATCCCCTTCAATCTGAATCCTCTCATAAATCATCAAAATTAGAAGCCTTGATCCCTGAATCAGTGATAGAACCTCAGGCCTTAGTGCCTTACTTGATCTCTGGATCACACTGAACCAGAAGATGCCAATATCAATGTTCAATAGTTGCCTCTGAAAATGGTGTTAATTCTTAGATGGACCTGGATTGTTGGAAAACAGCCCTAAAAACTAAATGGCATTGTCTTTAGGAAGCATCCAAATGAACTATTCCCTCTTTCTTTTCTTTTCTTTTTTTTGATAAGCTAATAATTAAATCCATGATCAATCCTATAAAGATTTCAAAAAACTTCAAGTCTGCAACCAATGAATTATTTAAATGGTGGCCAGCTCAGTTGCTGCCAAGGAAGGTTCTTTGTTTATTCACATATTTATTTTTATTTACCGCCCATATATCTTTTGTCAACAGACACATGCATTCATCATCCCAACTTTAAGAAGACAATCAGCTGAAATATGGAAACCCAAAATGAAATACTGAACTTAAATATACAAAACGGAAGATAAAGCTATCACCGACAAGTTGAATCACTTCAATAAAGATTGCAGCCCAATCAAGATCTCTCTTCTTCAGGCCTCTCATTTTTCTCATCCAATAAGGAAACTGCACACCAACAAGGACTATGAGATCATCCTTCATTAAATGAAAGGATCCAACTTGCACCCTTTCCTAGTTTCTTCCTTTCTAGAGCTTTCAACTTACACCCTTGACCTAGTTAATCACAAACAAGGACTAATTAAAACTACATCCTTTCTTAGTTTCTTCCATTTTAGAGCATTCAACTTACACTCTTGACCTAGCTAATCAACTATGCATTTAAGATCCTTAGCAACTTGTTCACTGGCTAGGCATTTAGGACACCTACAGGATTTAAGTATTTTTTCAGCAAAACAATCACCTGGAAGGATAATTTATTTTTTTATTTTTAAAAAATCATAAACTAATTCATAACTATCCACTATAAAAGATGAAACAAAAGGATGGAATTTGAGAATCTAAGGAGACAAGAGATGAGAAAATGATTAAAATAATGGCATTAATTTTCATTTACTTTGACGGGAAAATTGAAATGCAAGTTTATGAGGAAAATAAAATATTGTACAAATAATAGATAGTTAATGTACTATTTACTTAAAGAGCATAATGTTGAGAATCAGTAGTATAATTACTGATTTGGGTGAGCAAAATTGTTTTTGAGAAATAAGGATGCAACAAACTGCCTTATGCCACTTTATTTTTATAAACAAATTATAAATATTGCAAAGTCATTAAAAAAAAAAAACAGCACCTACTAGTCTTCACTTGCCTGAATCTTCTGACCTATTTCTCTTTAATACTAGGTTTCCACTTAAGGTACATGTACACTTGAAATGGGTGTGAGACCTTTGAGAACATGTAGAGTGGGGACACCAAAACCTAAACAACATTTGGCAGAATGCTCCTTTCTGTTGAATCCATAATATTTCTTTATCGAATCCATAATATTTGACTAAAAAACATTTGAACTCTTAAATATAATTTATTAATCCATTCATGTAGCCGACCGCAAATAGCAGGGATTGAGGCTGAACTCAGTTTTGAATTATAAATCCATAGTGTTTGATATTTTGTGTAACTAATTATACTAATAGTTTATTATCATTTAAATTGATTTATGTTTCTCCATTTAAGTGTTTTTTTTTTCCAGCTGAAGTTCAACCAAGCATTGTCCCAACCATATGGAGTTGGCAATATGATAGGAGTGCAACTCAGATTTCCAATTTAAAGAATTTGCACTGCATTGGGCTGGGCTTTCAGGCCATGCCCCTTCAAATTTTAACAAAATTCCAAGCCAGCCCAAGCTACACTCCTACTATATGAATCCAGTTCCACCATTTGTTCAGTGCCATATCCACTGTTCACTATTCCATTATTAATAGAAAACAAGGAAACATAATACTAGAAAATGAAAACAAGAAGTAAAGTATACCCAAGTGTTGAAATCCTATTTTATTGGGTTAGCCAAATCTAACACCTAGTGCATGTATCAAATTCAAAAACTCGTGTGTTGTGTCCTTGTCCATGTAACATGGGTTTCCACTAGCTCAACCATTTCTTATGTCATCCTTCCTATCCTTGCCAATTATCTATTTCAATGTCCTCATCTCATCTATGATTTTTGCATGAACATCATCAACATCATCTAAGCCTTATCCTAACTATATGGGTCAGCTACATGAATCCTGTTTCGCCATTCTGTTCTACTTAATGCCATATCTATTGTTTAATTATGAGTGCTTAAAATTTTTCTTACTACCTTAACCCATGGCCTTTTTGGTCTGCCTCCTAGCCCTTCTAGCCTTTTCAACATGTAACTGATCAATTTTTCTAATGGGTTCTATAGGTGGTCTCCCATGCATGTGACCGAGCCATCTAAGTTTATTTTCTCTCATTGTACCTATTGGAGCTACTCCTAGGTTCCATCAAATAACTTCATTTCTGATCTATCCTTTCTAGTATTTCAGCTCATCCATCTCAGCAAATGCATTTTTTCCACAATGATTTTTCTATGAACATGTAGTCTTATTCGTTGTCCAGGTCCAGCATTATGTTCCATAGCGCTTGGCCATTTCTTTTTGTAACAATAAATTAACAATGTGAAAATCAGTTGAACAGATATTGTTTTAATCAACTATAAAATTGTAATTGTATATTTTTCTTTTACTTGCCTCATATTTATTAATAGGAGCATATGATAAACTGGCAAATTGGATGACTGTAATAAGATATTTTCATTTGGTTTTCTCATCACATTTAATGTCCCAGAAATTACTGGGTGCATCCGTAAGATTCTATAGTCAGTAACATTATATTTTATTTCTTTTATATTTCAGCAACATAGTAGGTCAGAGAACAGAGATTAATTATAAAATATCAGTTTTGCCTCTGACTATATATTTTCAAATTGACAAAACTAACCTCTTCTGTGCACACAAAATACAGTTTTACCATCTCAATGTATTTTATTTTATTTTTCTTGAGCCTTTTTTCAAATTTTCAATCACAGCTTGACTTTTATGGTAGAAAAAAATTGTCCCTTCAAGAAATATAGAATGAGGTTACCTTTGTCCATATAATGTATAAGAAGGTGCTGAAATGGACCTTCGAAAAATTTTAAATGATGTGTGGATACTTTCTGTCACTAAAACTATGGATTAATGGCAGCTAGAATAAGTAACTCAACCCCAAACTATGAGGGTTGAGTAAGTTAATAGGTAAGCCTTAGGGGAGGTGTTTGTATTTGACCAAAATCTCAGGGAGTAACTTACCTTTTTTTTAACAGCCATGGTTCAATCAGAATCCTAAAGCAACAATAAGGGTGATCTTGTATCTATTAGTGATTAAGTGCAGACGATGAAACTCTTCAAATCATAATCCTAAGCATATGCAAGATCTCAGAAAGGCATCGCAACAACATGACTTCTATCTTAGTAGGGAAGCAAAGAGCTTATTCTAACTTCTAAATTAGCAAATTAAGAAACTTCTACAGTTCTACTGCATGGCACAAATCAATAAATCAATAAGAATACCTTCCTAAAGAAATAGGAGCCTACCTCAAGAACATAAGCAAGGGCATAAAGACACATCTATTAACAAATGTGCTTACAGACTTGAGTATAGGCCTTCTTGTAAATGAGCTATATGTTAATGAGGCACTACGTAGAAAACCAGGCCAAGTACCTGAGGTGTGGACAAAAGCTCGGCATCATGTTTGTTGAGCCTGGAATGGAGAAGAACAAAATAAATCATCCAAAAACATCCCTCACTCATATGGCCTGGGCAAAGCTCAATCCTGAGAGCTGCTAGCCTTGGAGCAAGTCTTTCAATAGCCAAAGCATGCTCTAGTTGCGCATCAGACATGTCAAAATCTGAAAAAAAAAAAAAAACGTTAATATAAACGACAATATCAACAAGAATGCGAAGAAAGAACACAGTACTGAAGAAACAGAAGTACAAACTTGCAAATGTTTAATTGCGAGATACCACTGTTGGAGATACAGAGTTAATTTAACTTTAAAGTATAGGTAAACGGTTTGAATTTAGTGCCGTTTTCTTTGTTTTTGCTTTTCTCCATTCCCTTTTCTAAAGATAACTTTAACTACAAAATGCAGACTCCATTAGCCACCTAGTAATCAAGTACCAGTACATCCTTCCAGACCAAAAGGAAATCAGGAACAGAAGAATTGATTAGCTACCTTAGGTTAAAGAAAATACTACCTTTTCATCATTACACGAGTTGTGAACTTGCAAAGAGTGCAAAAGTGCAGGCAAATGATTTCCGTGTAAATATGTGGATTCAAAGTTCAATCTCTCTCTCTCTCTCTGTATATATATAATAGCAATCCTTCATTGATCAATAAGAAAACATGAACTATCTCATGAATGAGATTCAATCTCAGAAATCCACATACCGTCCAAATCTTCTTCGTCGACCAGAGGGAAATCCAACCACGTCTCCGGATGCATTGCGATATTCTTTGCGAATGCGAGTACCTCGTCAGTTATACCAACCGCGCCTCCTATAGAATTCTTCTCCATAGATTCTCCATCAGTTCCAAAAGGTGGAAGAAAGGTAGAAGCGATCTTTGAAATCTCGGAAACTGCTCTTGTATTGGATAGCTTGGAGAACCCGGACTTAACTTTCCCTCCAATCTCAGCAAAATCGCTACGAATTCCTGCAATTCGCGCTGGATCAGAGTCATCACAGTTGAGGGATCGATCCGATGATTCCGAACGATTCCAATCGGAGATAAAGGGATCAGTGGAAGAGATTCGTCTGGGAAGGGGAGGCGGAGGAGGAGGGCTAGGGGCTGAGGATTGGGAAGAAGAGGAAGAAGGAGCAAGAAACGAGGCGACGCCCCATAGCTGACGAGTTAGGGTTTTGGTAATCTCGGTGAGATCTTCTTTGACGCCTCTTCCCTGATTCTCCGATGACTCGATCTGGTGGTGTTGCAGTTGCTCCACGACTTTCGGTGATTGTCCCTTTTTTCTATCATTGTTGGTAACCTTTGCCTTATCTTCATCGTCGTCCTCGTCGACTTTCAGCGAGTTCACCAAAGACCTTGCCAACCATGACATTTCGATTTCAATCCACGGATACACACATACACAGACAGACAGAGAGAGCGCGCATAGAGAAAGGGAGAGAAAAGATAAATCTATCAGAAGAAATTCAGAAGGTAGTTCGAGTTGCAGCGTTGCCAACTTTTTTTATTTTTAAAATTTTCCTACGTATTACGCCCATATGGTTACAGAAAGGAAGTAATTTTCTGTGTAACACATCACATCAACAGAGACATGGTCATCTCCCCAGAATTCTCCACGTGGCGAATCAAACGAACGATATCCACTACGGTCCATCCTCTCCGTCTCGTTCAGTACTGGAATTGGTAGCATTCGCTTGGCGCTTGGCAGTTGGCACCGTCATTGGGTGCCAGCATAATTAGCGGTGTTTCTGTTTGGCGTGATGTTACCTACGGATGTCAATGGGTCGGGTATGAACCGACTCATGCAGCTCCATGTAGCTGAGTAAAATTGATAATTATGTAACAAAAAAAAAAGAGTAAAATAGGCAATAGAAAATTGAGGGGGTGTTAATTGAATTGTTTTTTTTTTCTTGTTTTTTTGGGCAGTGTTGAATTGCTTTTCGTGTGTTTTAAAAACAAACCATTGAAACAAAAATATGAAAAACATCCTCTTGTTATAAATAAGTTTTTATTATAAAATTAAAATAAAAATATATTCTTGATTTTTTATTTGAAAAACTTTTTTTTTTTTACCTTAAGGGTAAAAGATAAAAATCTCCCTTGAGGTTTCTGACAATCATAAAACCTCCCCTAGGGTTTCAGTTTAATAAAAAACTCTCCTATAACTTATAAAAAAACTCTTGTTACCACCCTTTGGTCATTATTTCATTAGTGGAGAGACTTGGGATTTATTATATTGCCATTATTAGTTGTTAGGGCATCTTTCTACATAATTCAAAATGTGAAATTTGCATTCACTCTAATTGGCAAATTTGCAAAGTAAAATTATTTTACTGTTTTCAAGTTGAAGCAAGGAACTTTTTTTTATTAAAAGTTAAAAGTTCTTTTGAGGTATTTTAATCAATCTTCATGTGAATTGATAGGCATAAAGGTAGAGTTGGTATTTTAAAAAACTATGCATTAAGCTAATATTTTGTTTATGATAATGATGGAAGGGAGGTAACTGCAGTTTTTTTTTCAAAATAATAAGGGGATTTTTATTAAAATGAAACCTTGAGGAAGATTTTTATTAAAATGAAACTTTAAGGGAGATTTTTATGATTGTCATAAACCTCAATGGAGTTTTTTTCTTATATTTTACCCTTATTTTAAGTCATACAATACATCTCACCATCTTTCCAGAATCACACAATATTGGTTTTGTTTTAAAAATAATAATTTTGATGTTTTAAAAACATGCTTATTTTTTAGGGGTTCTTATCATCCAGTCCATCCCTAGGTGGAGCTAGGATTTTCTAGGGGTGGACTTAATCTTGCCCGTGGATTGATGCCAAATTCACAGGCAGGATGTGGTTTATAGGGGAGGGGGGGCTACATGTAGATTAGGAGAGGGCTGCAAAAAAGATTTTTGAGGGGGAGTGCAGTCCAAAAATCCCTATTTTTTTTAAACAAAATCAACTTATTTTTACTTCTCAATACAAAAACAAAATTTCAAACACATGTTTTTGTTTAATTTCAAAAAGCAAATAAAAACAAAACATTAGAATAACCCTACTTCTCTTTTTAGAAAATATCTTATACATCCATTATAAAATTAAATTTTTTAGGCATTTTATATGAATTTTTGTGATTATATTTGGAATCAATCCCAATTCCATTTGAATCAAAACTCAAAATGTAAGGATCCATCTGGTTCACATAACTAGGGGTTTAGAATTAGAACCACCCAACCATATTGGTTGGCCAGAATTGGAATCCTATTCCCATTCCATCCAATTCCAATTCTCATTCCACCAGGAATGAGAATAGGATTTTGGTTCCAATTCTTAATTTCTAATTAATTCCGATTCCCCCATTTGAAGGAATGGTCATTCCCTCCCCTCCCCTGAAAATGAGAATCCATTCCATCCAATTCTGATTCAACTTCAATTCCCACCTGAAACATACAGATAAAAGGAAAAGACCGTAAGACCATTCAAATTCTGAATATGAGGGATTTTGATTCCAATTTCAACTGTAAACCAAGCAGATCCTTAGATGCAAAACAAGTTTTCCTTTGGCATTTTATCCTATGTGGTATATTAAAAATGGAATGTAACCCAAATCCTTTTTTTGGCTCAATTTGATAAAAGTGAAAATATAAGGTTTAGAAATTCTATATGCAACATATTTATATTTATATTTGCACTCTTTCCAAACTGAGACTATGTATTCCTTTTTTCAATGTTTACATGTTAAACATTTATGAATTTAACCAGCATTTCCACCCCCAATAGTTTTTAAATTACCAAGCTGGTGTAGCCGTTGTACGTTTTTGTTTTGAAAAAAATAATAATAATAATTTATAAATCGACAAAGACACCATAAATTGTGCGTTTATGTTTATGGTGCAAAATTTACAAGGCAATACATAGAGAAAATATCAGAAGTATAAATACAAATATTTACGATATAAATAAATACAAAATACAAGTTTTTTACACAACATATTTCTTGCAAACATAGCAACTAATGTTGCGTGTGCACATAACATCATCATTCAACATGCATACGTACGTTTTTTATTAATCAATACTTTGCTATAATCTTCATGGCTTTATGTGGCAGGATATGGGATGTCCAGATGTGAAATGATTGCCTTCAAAGTGGATTCCTCCCACAGTCCCACGTTGAGCGTGTCCTTCTGTTGCAAATGTAACCCTCGTCCAGCATGCCAAAGCCAAACCATCTTCATGGCTTTATGCAAACTTGCACTCCTTGCTGAACAAGAAATTAAAAAAAGATGTCATTGATGATGTTGTACTTTTTTTTTTTCTTTTAAAGGATTTCATTTGTAAATTTTAAAATTTACATAGCGTGATGTAGTAGGATTGAAGTCTATGACCACCTGGCCCTTACATGTAACGTATGCAAAAATATGGGCAAGGGTGTTATAGTTCCTATTAAGATGTATAATAGTGCAGTGCTGAAAGCGTGAAATTAGACGACGGATATGGCCTTCATACAGCTGCTCGATCCGATTGTTCGGCCTGTTACCATTCTTAACATAACAAACTAGACTACTACTATCAGAAAACACAGCTATTTGTATATTTAAAAGAGTCGATGGCCCAGCATGGGTGGTGATGATGCACAATCTGGCCGGTCTTAGCTGTCGATGATCTTGCCTCTGAACTGAGTAACAGGGACCTGAAACAGAGGGAGAAGAGAAGCTCCGGGGAGAACCCGGCGTAAGGGCTCTGAAGCTCAAGTTAGAATCCTTCAAAGGCAAGATAAACCAGATAGCGCGAAAGTTAGCATACCTCGTTC